AGGCCCTGACACTTGGCCTTGTTGAACCTCATACAATTGGCCTCAACCCATTGATCCAGCATGTCCAGATCCCTCTGCAGGGCCTTCGTACCCTTGAGCAGATCAGTGCTCCTCCCCAACTTGATCTTGTCTGCAAACTTACTGAGGGTGCACTCAATCCCCTCATCCAGTTTGTTGATGAAGACTGGCCCCATAACTGAGCCCTGGGGAACACTGCTCGTGACTGGCCACCAACTGGACTTAACTCCATTCACCACAACTCTCTCGGCTCAGTCATCCAGCCAGTTTTTTACCCAGCAGAGAGTACACATGCCTAGGCTGTAAGTTGCCAGCTTCCTTAGGAGAATGCTGTGGGAGACTGTGTATCCAGTTTGTTGATGAAGACTGGCCCCATAACTGAGCCCTGGGGAACACTGCTCGTGACTGGCCACCAACTGGACTTAACTCCATTCACCACAACTCTCTCGGCTCAGTCATCCAGCCAGTTTTTTACCCAGCAGAGAGTACACATGCCTAGGCTGTAAGTTGCCAGCTTCCTTAGGAGAATGCTGTGGGAGACTGTGTCAAAGGCTTTACTGAAGTCCAGGTAGATGACATCCACAGCCTTTCCCTCACTAGGCGGGTCCCCAGGTCATGGAAGGAGATCAGGTTGGTCAAGCAGGACCTGTCTTTCATGAACCCATGTTGGCTGGGCCTGATCCCCCAGTTGACCTGCACATGCGTGTTGAGTGTACTCAAGATGAACTGCTCCATAATCTTCCCTGTCACTGAGGTCAGGCTGACAGGCCTGTAGTTCCCTGAATCCTCCTTCCGGCCCTTCCTGTAGATGCGTGTCACATTGGCAAGCCTCCAGTCATCAGGGACCTCCCCTGTTAACCAGGACTGCTGATAGATGATGGAAAGTGGCTTGGTGAGCTCCTCTGCCAGTTCCCTCAGTACTCTGGGCTGGATCCCACCCAGCCCCATAGACTTGTGAGCATCCAGGTGGTGTAGAAGGTCGTTAATTGCTTCCTCCTGGATTATGGGGGCTTCATTCTGCTCCCGTCCCTGTCTTCCAGCTCAAGGGGCTGAATACCCTGGGGATAACTGGTCTGGCTATTAAAGACTGAGGCAAAGAAGGCATTAAGTACTTCAGCCTTCTCCTCATCCTTGGTGGCAATCTTTCCCCCCCTCATCCAATAAAGGCTGGAGGTTCTCCTTGGCTCTCCTGTTGCTGTTAATGTATTTGTAGAAACTTTATTATCTCTTACAACAGTGACCAGGTTGAGTTCTAGCTGGGCTTTTGCCTTTCTAATTTCCTCTCTGCATGACCTAACAAGATCCCTGTACTCTTCTTGAGTCATCCGTCCCGTCTTCCAAAGGTGATAAACTCTCCTTTTTTCCCTGAGTCCCAGCAAAAGCTCCCTGTTCAGAAAGGCTGGTCGTCTTCCCCGCTGTTTCGTCTTATGGCACATGGGGACAGCCTGCTCCTGCGCCCTTAAGATTTCATTCTTGAAGAATGCCCAGCCTTCCTGGACCACTTTGCCCATCAGGACTGCCTCCCAAAGGACTTTCCCAACCAGTATCCTGAACAGGCCAAAGTCTGCCCTCCAGAAGTCCATGGTAGTGGTCTTGCTGGCCCTCCTCCTTACTTCGCCAAGAATTGAAAACTCTCTCATATCATGGTTGCTATGCCCAAGATGGCCTCCAACCACAACATCTCCCACTAGTCCTTGTCTGCTTGTAAACAGGAAGTCAAGTGAAGCACCTCCCGTGGTAGGCTCACTTACCAGCTATGTCAGGAGGTTATCTTCCACACACTCCAGGAACCTCCGAGACTGTTTCCTCTCTGCTGTGTTGTATTTCCAGCAGATGTCTGGCAAGTTGAAGTCCCCCACGAGAACAAGGGCTAGCGATTGTGAGTCTTCTGCCAGCCGCTTATAGAATGCTTCATCTACCTCTTCATCCTGGCTGGGTGGTCTATAACAGACTGCCAGCAGGACGTCTGCCTTGTTGGCCTTCCCCCTCATCCTTACCCATAAGCACTTGACATTATCATCATGATCTTTGAGCTCTATACAATTGAAACACTCCCTAACATACAGAGACACCCCACCATCTCTCCTTCCCTGACTATCTCTTCTGAAGAGCTTATAGCCATCCAGTGCAGCACTCCAGTCATGAGAGTCATCCCACCATGTTTCTGTAATGGAGACTATGTCATAGCCATCCTGCTGCACAATGGTTTCCAGCTCCTCCTGTTTTTTGCCCATGCTGCGTGCATTGGTGTAGATGCACTTGGGCCGGGCTATCAATTTCACCCCCAGTGTTGCCATGCCACCCTTGGGCTCCTCTCTAGCGAGCCTGGTTATATCCCCTTCCCCCTTCAAACCTAGTTTAAAGCCCTCTTGATGAGTCCCACCAACTCATGAGCGAGAATCCTTTTCCCCCTTGGAGACAGCTGAACTCTGTCTGTTGCCAGCAGGCCCAGTGCCGTGTAAACCTCCCCGTGATTGAAAAAAACAAAATCCCACTGATGGCACCAGCCTCCGAGCCACATGTTAATCACTCTTTTTTTTTTTTTTTGCTACACCATTCCTTTCCTATGGATGAAAACAGAAGGTCTTTGATTTGCCCAATTTATTTTACTAATACTTTTTGTCTCCACATTATCCCTTGAAGTGTTTTGGGCTATCTGGGGAAGACACTACAAACTTAGAAAGAATTACTTCAAACTGGCACTACATTTAATCGTATAGTCACATTATTTGTTCTACTTTAACGCTTGCAAATTGCAGCAAAATGGGGTGCAAAAACTAAATAAATACCAACATAAGAGGCCATATTAACCATAAAATTAGGTTAAATATTAAGATTATCATTCAGAATGGTATTTTCTCATGTACTAATTAAGTTTTGTGCAAGAGAGATTTAAATCACGTGGGTCTAATCTCCTGAGTCCCACTCTTACATAGCAGCACTGAGTTTCTCAAACCTCCAACACAAGAACAGTATCACAGAAAAAAAGAAGTTATAGCTCAGACATTCTTAGCTCTTATTACCAGGATAGGATATCAATCTGTTGGCAACTCTTGTACTACAGAGTAGCTTGGAACTATCACCAAATATAGTATTTTAAAACAAAAGCTATTATCTCAAACAAAATCTCAGGAACTTTGGAAATGTTTTAAGTTCTTTCCCAATTAAGCAATTTTTTTCTTTAATATTACTTCACTGATGTTAGAGTTGTTCTTGGTGAGAATATACAGGTTTCAGAAGAAACTCATCTGACAAACCAGAGTCACTGAAGTGTTTGTAACTGGGACTTGGAAGAAGTTTTTTTTTACAGTAATTTTTTGCAACTTCAAGTGATGTTCTTATTTCTTATGAGAACATTTTCCATGAGAAGAAGGAGGCTTTGGGTTAGGGTCAGCAACAGCAGGTAGGCACAGCTGCATCACTGCAGAAACTTGGGATATCTTTCCCTCCCCAACTCTCTCTGAAAACATAACCCTCAGTCCCAGCATCTCCAGTTTGCTTCCCTTCATCAACAGATTATAAATGAGCTTCCTGTTGCTCCTCTCAGTGGTTAATTATTTGCACAAGTGAAATTGTTTCAACAGCAAAGACTGGATATTAGACAGACAAGTAGTCAAATCATTCATCTGGGCTCTAACCGCCTGAGGTTCAAATTCCTGAACAGACCCTGGCAAATAGAGACTTGACCCTGAACTTCCCGAAAGCCAAGTGAAAGCTGTAATCACAAGGTATTGTTTACTGCGGTACAGATAGTCTTTCCCTCAGTGGTTTTGGCCAAAATTCCATCTTTATCCACAATCCTTGGAGGATATTCAGTTTTCAAAATTTAAATTTTCTGATGAGCAAGTCTCAATCAGTTCTGCTAATAATAGTCTAAATTTTATATTAATATAACAGCGAGCAGATGTTTTGGGCTTTAATTTGTTGATCATTTCCTCTATTGTTAACAGCTGCTCTAATCTTACTTTAATACTCCTCTAATTTCCGTAAATCTCTGAGGTACATACACATAATGTAATGCTATGATATCTAAAATATTCTGCTAATGTAATTGCTTTATTTATTTTTATTTATTATCTTAATTAAACAAAAAAACGTGGCAGCTAAGCATAGCTGCTCTTCTAGTGCAAAGATGAACACTTCAGGGTATTTCTACTTCAGAAATAGTATGCCTCAACCAATGTACAGTGTGAAAATTTCAATTTCTTGAATCACTCAGCATAAAAGTGAAACCATTAAGCCAAAGAAGAATTGTTTAATGATATATGGACATGTCAGCTCAAACTTGCGTGAATAGCCCTAAGTTCTTTTACTGCTCCAACCTGGCCTGATAAGAGCCAGCCTCAAACCAAAAGCTATCTCAACACCACATATTAAATTCAGCTGTACTAATATGGCTGAACATCTTGGAAGGAGACGTTACTCATGCCTAACCAGTTTGGAGTGTGAATATGTCATCATTCAGCCACATCAGCATTGCCGGTGCTCTTCTTATGCCAATCCAAACATCGCACATGAGTTAGCGCAACAGACTAAGCTAACCACAGTCCTGCCCATTGCCAAAGCCAAAGGAAATCACCAAGCCTGGAAAACACATTAACACAAAGCTACAGAGACAATTTCTGTGGAAGAGGAGGAGAGATTTGCCATTGATTTCAATGGAATGTGGTTGGACATTTTTGTTTTGGAATATTGTTTCAAAGATGGATTTACTTACCCGAGACTGTAGGCTTCAGATCCCAGCCTGTAGGCTGCAGCCAGCTTGTTGATGGATTCAGAATCATGGCTGTAGGCAGCTGAGCTCTTGCTGAGGGATTCAGAGTCAAGACTGTAGGCAGCAGATCTTTTACTTTGTGCAGCAGAGTGATCATAGGCTGTAGATCCATAGCTGTAGGCTGCTGAGTCAAGGTCATAGGCTGAAGAGCCATGACTATATGCTGCTGAAGATTCAAGGCTGAAGTCTGCTGCAGATGCATGGCGATAGGCTGTAGAGCCCCTAGCATAAGCTGAAGACCCTTGAGCATAGACAGCAGATTTGCTCTTTGCTTCCTTTTGGTACTGGCTTACAGTGGACTGCAGTGCTTTATGGCGGTATGCACGGTCATAGTGCTCATGGTGTCTTTGGTAGAAAGGTAAAGACATCATGGATGTCTTTTAATTTTGTTTTTTACTGCACGTTTTTGAATGTAAATAAACAGGACAGCGTCTGAAAAAGAACAGATCAAACATAAGGACTATTGTCAAAGAAACTTCTGAATTAGCATACAAATAATACACAACTTCATACAAAGTTCAATCCCTGCTCACTGCAGGGGGGTTGGGCTAGATGATCTCTCAAGGTCCCTTCCAACCCAAAGCATTCTATGATTCTATGATTCTAAGTAACACAGAACTTTAAACTTCAAGAATCAAATGCAATGAATTTAGGGCTATCTTTTTATGATGTGTTTTAGACTTTAAGATAGGTTTGTATTTAAGTTTCAAGATGGTCGTATGTCATTCATCATGACCAGAAAACCTTGCACTGTTGTGTCCATTCATTTGTAGTTGGTCTCCCTGCTACTGCAAACTATTCAAGTTTTATGTGCTCAACTTCTCCACTTATTACTGTGAACTAATGAAATTTTATGTGCTTGGCTTCTTCAGAGATAGTGCAAATATTTTTGTTAAATTACAAAAGAGACAATCAAGTAATAAATTATTTTAAAAGGCATGAGCAATTCCAACAAGGTTATATAAGATGAAATAAAAATATATTAACATTTCATTCATTTTTGTAATCCAATTTTCAGATTGAATTTAATATTCCATTTAATATTTTAACAATTAAATAAAATATATATGATTAAGAAGGATGTCACTTTTTCTGTAAACATGCATTACCTTGATTATTTTGTATGTGATACCAGAGATCCATTTAAAATGGCTTATCATACTTCTAGAGTTTAATCAGGGATACAGTCTGTATGCAATGAGTAAAATAATATCCTTCTCCTCAGTCCAAATGACCCTTTTTTTAACCTAGAATGTTGTGTTCAAGATCATCAAGAAACTTCCTCCAGACAATAGCCCCATCTAAGTTTTACTTTGCACAGTCATCAGTAGATTGTCTTGCAGTTACTTGTAGTAGGAAATTTGATCAGGTGAGAGGTAATTCCCCTCTCAAAATGGGATGAGTGTTGAGTGCAGAAAGGATTTCCCTTGTTTTGTTTTTGTTTTGTTTTGTTTTGTTTTTTTAAGCTGGCAATTTAGTCTTTATTTTGTTACTGTTTTATTTTGCTGTTGTTAAAACTGACTTTTTCTTCTTTGGCATGCAAGCTTGCCTCTACTAATCCCTATGATAACCTTTCTTTCTCTTATCACTGGTGATTAGTCTTACAACATGGCTAGGATTGTCCCTGAAAAGGTACATGATTATGAATAGAAATGAGCTACAGTGAGGAAATGTTTAGAAGAATTTAAAGAAGATCCAAAAACAATGGTGAGAGGTGTTTGTTATTGGGTTTTTTTAATATCAATCACAATAGGAGACTTGTTCTGCTTCTGGTGTTGTTCATGCTAATGAACAAGGATCCGATTTTTTGACATAAAATACACTTACAGAGCTGGAGTGTAATCATGATTTCATGAAAATCAAGATTTTTTTTTTCCCCCTGGTCTTTATGCTTCCTAAATTTCAGTCCTTGGCTTTTTCTTTAGGATTTGGTTCTGATCGCGAGTCAACAAATTGCAAACTGTTCTCTTTGGTAACTGCTCAGGTACTCACCCTGACTAAGGCAAATTATGAAAAAAAACCCAATGTTTCATCTTTCTTATATTTCAGGGCTCTCTCAAAGGAACTGCTCTTTGTATGATAACAAAACAGATCACTTGTTTGCAGAAAGTCAACAAGTAAGAAAGTAATTCAGAAGTCTTTAAGAAATTGCTGATATCCTGACCACAGTGAAACTGTGACTTCAGGGAGACCAGTTTATGCATTTACTTTTTTTTTATCTGAGGAAGGAGGAGGAATGTGAAAGAGTGTTAGCCCATTGTTCTCTACGGCAAAACCTGATGTTCCTTATTTCTCCTGCTGGCTATTTTTTCATGTAAGTCTAAAGAATGCAATTATTCTGTCTAGTATTCTAGTTTCTAATACCTATCATTATTTTGTGTTGTTATTTATTTCACTTTGTTAGCTTCCAGTAGTACGTAGTTCCTCTAATTCCCTTAGTTTCAGAAGATTTCTTCTCCATTTTTCTTCATTGCTTTCTCTCCCAGCTCCGCAGAGCTAGGTTTAGGGTTTGCAAGCCATTGTGATCTCTGCTGAGCAAAGTTAAGGCGAACAGATGAGTATTGTCTTGCACAGTGAAAGGGAAAGAAAGCTGGTCTTCACCAGCTTTATTTGCAGTGTTGGCTGGCTTCATCATGGATACAACAGCCTCAATGCTAACAGCCATTCAGTCCCGTCGCTCAGGGATTCCCACAGCCTTCCAGGTTTCAAAGTAAGGAAAGTGATCCAAAAGTATAAAGCACTGCATGTATTGCCCATTAAGGAGAAATTAAATAAGGCATTTCATTTACATCTTATCAGAGCAAAAGAGCAAGCAGTGGACTTAAAGTCAGCATATTTAAAAGGTACAAAGGCAACCTTTTTATCCCAAACATAAAAGGTCTGGACCTCACTGTCCTCAGGAGTTAAGAGAAGGAGTCTATGATAGGAGTAAGAACTAATGCAATGAGGCAGGAGCTGAGCATGAAGTCAGCTCTTCTGGTTCAAATCAAAGGTCAATTCTTACATCATATGAGAGGAAACTCCTTTTATAGGTATTTTGTCACACTATGAGTTGTGTTTTATATTTCCTCTGAAACGTCAGGCATTGCTCACAGGTCAGGATCCATTAGTTACACTAGTCTGATCAGATATAGTAGTGTGACGCTATTGGCGATGACAAGAAACTCTGAACCTTGTAAGGATTTTGCTCCTATTTGGAGTACTGTCTGATTAACAGGTTGACTCCCATCTCTTAAGTTTTATAAAATCCATGCTACCTGCACCTACTTAGTTTGTATCCACTGATCAGCCCCCTGTAGTGTGAGGGCAACACTCCCTCTCAAGGTCTGTGTAGGATTTCATAGCTGCAGAGCCTGGCCTGAAAATATTAGTGGCCAAAGTTAGATGAATGTGCAGGGTTTGAAGCTATATGTTAGCAGCTGTTGAACTGAATTTTCTAAATGACTACTGAGCAGACAGACAGTTCTGTACTTGTTCATAGGTCATCGCTACACATTAAAGGAAGTGATTTTATTGGCATTACCTCTCGCACTGTTTACCAGTCTGCGTAATTCTTTAAAGATCTACTCCATCAATCAGTGAAAATAGTGACATATATAAAAACCAGAAAAACTTATAAGCAGGAAAAAAGGAATTATATCATTTCCTTCAGCTCAGTCAATGGCTTTACAAATCACAAGACATGCTATGCAACTAGAAAATACTTAGATTATTTAAACATTCTCTAAGCCCAAAGGAGGTTACATGACAAATTCCTCATGTAACCCATGCTTCATTTGAGAGTACTATGACAATATACAAGGATAGTTGAGTCGATAATAAGTGAACACTTCCACTACTTTGCCTTGTTTCAGAGCTGAACCCTCACATGCCTTCAGTTCATGTCCACAAGTCCCTCAAATAACTGCTGAGCTGAGAAGAATAAAGGAAGCTCTATCAACTCAGCATTACAGATTCAGATTAAAAATATTTGAACGCATAAAATCTTCTGTCATAAAGGAACACTTACCAGGGCCCAAATGAATGGCAGCAAATGGAATAGTTATCAAGTGGATGAATAGCAGAAAAATACAGCAACAATGAAGCCAGCAAAGAAAGAGGTAGTCAGGACGAGGGGTAAGGACTGGACTTCAAGATCCAGAACAAAAATAATGCCTGCAGTCAGTGGAATGTCAGAGCCTCAGTCCAGACCTTTTATGGACAGGGTGGTGATAAATATAGCATCGAAGAGGAAGAGAGACAGAGACAGATACCGATACCCTGTGCTATCTCTGTGCAAAGACATGGTGACAGCAGCTTCAGACTGAGAGCACTCCCTTTTAAGTATCTTCACTAAATTTGCTATAAAATCAGCATTCAAATTCAAAATTATTTCTAGGATTTTTTTTCTTAGTTAAATCAGATTTAGGAGAGAAAAAAAAAATGTTTTGTGTCATGAACCAGTCCCTGTATTGATCTTTGCCATGGTACAAGAATATGAATGTTTTATGTGTTCCTTTCTTCTTTTTTTTAATGCCGAGCCACACTGCATGTAATGTAGATATTTCAGCTTAATGACAGACAAGCTAGAGAAGTAGTTAGCAACAAAATTCTATAAAGCCATACAATGTGTTACAGTTCGATAAAAAATGTACTTTCTTTGTTCTGTTGACAAGATTTTAAATTTGATGCAGCCCAGAAGGCCAACTGTATCCTGGGCTGCATCAAAAGCAGCGTGGCCAGCAGGTCGAGGGAGGTGATTCTGCCCCTCTACTCTGCTCTGGTGAGACCTCCCCTGGAGTACTGCATCCAGCTCTGGGGCCCTCAGCACAAGAAAGATATGGACCTGTTGGACCAGGTGCAGAGGAGAGACACAAAAATGATAAGAAGGATGGAACACCTCTCCTGTGAGGAAAGGCTGAGAGAGTTGGGATTGTTCAGCCTGGAGAAGCCAAGGCTGCGAGGAGACCTTATTGTGGCCTTTCAGTACTTAAAGGGGGCCTCTAGGAAGGATGGGGACAAAATTTAGCAGGGCCTGTTGCAATAGGACAAGGAGTAAGGGTTTTAAACTAAAAAAGGGTAGATTTAGACTAGGTATAAGGAAGAATTTTTTTATGATGAGGGTGGTGAAACATTGGAACAGGTTGCTCAGAGAGGTGGGAGATGCTCCATCCCTGGAAACATTCAAGGTCAGGTTGGATGGGGCTCTGAGCAACCTGATCTAGTTGAAGATGTCCCTGCTCATTGCAGGGGGTTGGACTAGATGACCTTTAAAGGTTCCTTCCAACCCAAACCATTCTATGATTCTATGATCTCCCACACCAGGGGCTGCTCAGCTACATTAACCATATGGGCTTTTGGTCTTTGCTCCCCAGCACAGAAAGTATGACCAGCAAAAAGTTGTACAGTCATAGAAATTGTATCTTGGCTCAGGAAACTGGCCAAACCTGC